CTGGGGAAGGAAAGAGAGAAAAGAGGACATAATTAATCTACAACACTAATTACACTAATAACATCACTAATTGCACTATTAACCAAATGAACACTTGATGAACATGCCGAAAATATCATCCTTTATATACATATATCAATTTCCTCGGACAGGGTTGGGGGTTGGGGTGTGTGGGGGGTGTGGGGTGTGGGGGGGGTGGGGGTGATGGTGGGTGTCAGGGAAAACTTCGGATAATTTTTCTTTTTTTTTCTTTTTCTTTTTATCTCTCTTTTCTCTTTGTTCTTTTCTCAAGAAACGTGGAGGAAGTTGGACTCGTGTCATCTCCTCGTTTCTCCTCGAGTCCGCGACAAAGTCTTTTTTTTTAAGGTATTTAAGATATTGAGATATTTTTTCCCTTATTTTTCCCTTTATTTTTTTCCCTTATTTTTTCCCTTTATTTTTTCCCCTTATTTTTCCCTTTATTTTTTCCCTTATTTTTTCCTTTATTTTTTCCCTTATTTTTCCCTTTATTTTTTCCCTTATTTCACTTTGTCTTAAGATAACAAAGTCTTAAGATATTTTTTCCCCGTATTTCCCCTCATTTCACTTCTTTTAGTTGGTTATTTTCTTCCTTACTTAATTTTATCTTGTTTTTTTTCTAGATAGTTTTTTTTTCCTTATTTCGCTTTATTTTTTTTTCCAGATATTTTCCTCCTTATTTAATTTGATTTGATTTTTAGTCTTATTTTCTGCCTTACTTACTTTTATCTTATTTTTCTAGTCTGACGTTTTCTCCTTTATTTCATTTTATTTCTTAGTTCGTTATTTTCTTCCATTCTCCCTGTCCCTTTGTCCGAAGTTATCCTCTTTCCAAATCATCTTCCTTTCCAATTTTCCTTCTTTTCTTTAATAATATAGAAATATGCAAATAAGGTTTCCCACAGACACTGGAATAAGTCCATTTCTTTCCCTTCCCTTTTCCTTTTATCTTACTCTGAGCTTTCTCCTCCTTTTCTCCATTCCCAATTCGTTAATAATATAAAGGAATTAATAGTAAGAAATATGTTGTTGTTTTTTTCGTTTAATTCGCATTTTTTTTTCATTCCCAATTTGTAAATAATGTGAGAATATGGACAAAGAAAAAAATTATATATATTTATCTAATTCACAAATTTCTTTATTCCCAATTCGTTAATCAAGTAAAGACATGGACAAAGCGAAATGATGATAATATGAATAATAATAATAATAAAAAAGAAAAGTAAAAAAGAAAAAAGGGGAAAAATAAAAAATAAATAAATAAACACTGACATAACGCAAAGATTTATTTATTTATTTATTTATTCCCATTTCGTTAATCAAGTAAAGACATGGGCAAAGCGAAATGATAATGATAATAATAATAATAATAATAAAAAAGAAAAGAAAAGTAAAAATGAAAAAAAAGGGAAAAATAAAAACTAAACACTGACATAACGCAAAGATGCCCGCGGACCAAATGACGAGGGTAGAGTTAATCCCCACGGAGATTAAGCTCTGGAGGGGACCGTCGGGACCCTGTTACGTTGGCCCCGTCTGTTTGTCTGTCTGTGTCTGTCTGTCTGTGTCTGTCTGTCTGTCTGTTTGTCTGACTGTCTGTCTGTCTGTTCCTCCCTCCCTCTCCTTCTCTCTCTCTCTCTCTCCTTCTCTCTCTCTCTCTCTCTCTCTCTCTCCTTCTCTCTCTCTCTCTCTCTCTCTCTCTCTCTCTCTCTCTCTCTCTCTCTCTCTCTCACTCACTCCTTCCCATCCTTCTCCCCTACCTCATACCACAGTCCAAATCTTTCTAAGTCTTCCTGCGATTTCCCATCTACTAATAGACAGACAGATAGATAGACAGACATATAGATAGATAGATAGATAGATAGACAGACAGACTGATAAATAGATAGATAGACAGACAGATAGATAGATAGATAGACAGATAGACAGACAGATAGTTAGATAGAGAGCTGATGTCGCAGGGCAAAATTAATTTCCTTGTAATTTCTTTTCTGGTCGATGGAGATAGGGAGGGTAAGGATGGGGGAGGGGGGTGAGTGAAGTGGGGGGGGTAAGGGGAGGTGAAGGGGAGTGAAGGAGAGGTAGGGGGATGAGTAGAGTGGGGGGGGAGTGGGGGGGGAGTGGGGGAAGAGTAGTAGGGTGAAAGGGAGAGGGGTGGATGAGGGGGTAGGGGGAGGGCATAGGATGAGGGGGTAGGGGGAGGGGGTAGGATGAAAGGTGGGGGGATGTTGGGGGGGGGAGTAAAGGAAGGAGAGGGGATATGGAGCGAGAAGAGGGAAGAAGAGGAGGTAGGATAGGGTAGGGTGAACGACTGGGAATGGGGAGTGGAAGAGGGGAAGTGGATAAAGATAGATAGATAGAGAGAGAGAGAGAGAGAGAGAGAGAGAGAGAGAGAGAGAGAGAGAGAGAGAGAGAGAGAGAGAGAGAGAGAGAGAGAGAGAGAGAGAGAGAGAGAGAGAGAGAGAGTGGAGGAGATGAGACAGAGAGAGTAGAGGCAGAGAGAAGAAACTGAGAGAGGGAGGAGAGAAATGGGAAAGAATGTATGATAAATATGAAATAAAAAGAAAAAAAGGAAAATTGACAAAGAATAACAAGATAAAGAAGAGGAAAATAAAGAAATACGGGAACTAATGAAAAAAAAAGAACGGCAACGGAAAGAAGAGCATGAATAAAAGACCAAAAAAGAAAGAGAGAAAGACAAAGACAAAGACCACAAAAAGCAACCAAAAAACAAATAAAACATAAAACATAAAAACTAAAACAAATGAAATAAACAAATAAGTAAAAAACTAAATCTAAAAAAAAAATAAAACGAACAAAACAAAAACAAAGATGTAAAGTGAATGAAATAAACAAATTAATAAAACAAATAAACGAAAAAAAAAGAAAAAAAAAACACCAACAAAAATCCATCAACAACTCAAAACAACAACAACAACAACACCAACAATAATAATAATAATAATAAAGAAAAAAACAACAACAGATAAATAAAAAGAAATTAATTAAGGAAAAATAATAATAAAAAAAGAAAAAATCGGAGTCTTAAAGGAACGCTAACAAAGAACAGGAATCACCAGGCAACAGGTAACACCTCTTCGCTCTTACAACAGGTGGCTTGCCTCAGCCGGGCGGGGCTTCGGGGGAGGGAGAGGGAAGGAGGGAGGGAGAGGGAAGGAGGGAGGGGAGGAAGAGGGAGAGGAGAGGGAAGGAGGGAGTGGGGATGGAGGGAGGGGAGGGAGAGGGAGAGGAGGGAGTGGGAAGGAGGGAGGGGAGGAAGAGGGAGAGGATGGAGTGGGAAGGAGGGAGTGGGAAGGAGGGATAGGAGGGAGAGGGAGAGGAGAGGGAAGGAGGGAGTGGGGATGGAGGAAGGGAGAGGGAGAGGAGAGGGAAGGAGGGAGTGGGGGAGGGAGAGGGAAGGGAGAGGCAGGGGAGGGAGTGGGGGGAGGGAGGGGAGGGAGAGGGAGGGGAGGGAGTGGGGGAGGGAGAGGTAGGAGAGGGAGTGGGGGAGGGAGAGGGAGAGGGAGGGGAGGGAGTGGGAAGGAGGGAGGGGAGGAAGAGGGAGACGAGGGAGTGGGAAGGAGGGAGGGGAGGGAAGGAGGGAGGGGAGGAAGAGGGAGAGGAGGGAGTGGGAAGGAGAGAGGGGAGGAAGAGGGAGAGGAGGGAGTGGGAAGGAAGGAGGGGAGGGAGTAGAGTAGGAGGGGAGGGAGAGGCAGGGGAGGGAGTGGGGGAGGGAGAGGGAAGGAATAAGGGAGAGGCAGGGGAGGGAGAGGGAGAGGGAGTGGGGGAGGTTGAGGCAGGGGAGGGAGGGGAGGAAGAGGGAGAGGAGGGAGTGGAAGGAGGGAGAGGGAAGGAGGGAGGGAGAGGGAGAGGAGGGAGAGGGAAGGAGGGAGTGGGAAGGAGAGGCAGGGGAGGGAGTGGGGGAGTGGGGATGGAGGAAGGGAGAGGGAGAGGAGGGAATGGGAAGGAGGGAGGGGAGGAAGAGGGATAGGAGGGAGAGGGAAGGAGGGAGGGGAGGGAGAGGCAGGGGAGGGAGTGGGGAAGGAGAGGGAGTGGGGGAGGGAGAGGGAAGGAGGGAGGGAGAGGCAGGGGAGGGAGTAGGGGAGGGAGAGGGAGAGGGAGTGGGGGAGGTTGAGGCAGGGGAGGGAGTGGGGAAGAGAGAGGGAGGGGATGGAATGGGGATGGAGAGGGAAAGGGAGGGGATGGAGTGGGGAAGGAGGGAAAGAGATAGGGAGAGTGATAAAGGGAATTGAAGAGTGAGTAAGGAGGGAGGGAGAGGGAAGGAGGGAATGAGGAAGGAGGAAGAGTCAGGAAGGAGTGGGGAAGGGAGAGAGGGAGAGAGGATAGGAAGGAGGAAGAGAATGGGAGAGGAAGAGTGGAGAAGGAGGGAGGGATAGGGAAAGAAGGGATAGGGAAGGAGGAAGAAGCAGAGGGAGGGAGAAGGAAGAAGGAAGAGGGAGGGAATGGAGTGAGGAAAAAAGGGAGGGAGAGGGGATGGGAAGGAAGGACGAGAAAGGGAGAGAACGGGGGAGGGAGGGGGAACGAGGGAGAAAGGATGGTGAGAGAAGGGAAGGAGGGGCGAGGGAATGGGAGGGAGTGGGAGAGGGAAAAGGGGACGAAGAAATAAGGAAATGGGAAGGGAATGAGGGAGGAAAAGGGAGTGGGAGAGGAGAAGAGGAAGAAGAAATGGGGAAATGAGGGAGGCATGGGGGAAAGAGGGATGGAGAGGCAAAAGGAGAAGAAAGAAGGAGAAGGAGGGAGAAAGGAAGGAGGAACGAGGAAATGGGAAAAATAGGGGAGGGAGAGGGAGAAAGAGAGAGAGAGAGGGAGAGAGAGGGAGAGAGAGAGAGAGAGAGAGAGAGAGAGAGAGAGAGAGAGAGAGAGAGAGAGAGAGAGAGAGAGAGAGAGAGAGAGAGAGAGAGAGAGAGAGAAATAGAAACAGAAAGACAGAAAGACAAATAGACAAATAGAGACAGACAGAC